CTATATGAACATCCCTGAAGTGTTAGCTGGCCAGGGAACTGTTCAAAGAGGTTTTGGCAGGTGACGATAGGTCATTGCATAAAATAAAATAAATGTGATATAAATTAAGTCTGTCTCGGAGAATCATCTGCGGATATAATTAGATCACATAAAAAATGAACGTAAATCTGTATTGCCATGTGGATTGTTTGCTTTTCAGGAGTACTGTGCCATAGCGTGGGGCAATATCATGCTATTTGACTATAAAAGCCAGTCAAGGAGCGACAAGTTCAGTATATATCTGTGGCCAATGCCAAAAAATATTGATGACCTCCAGAATCCACTTGGTGCGTTCAACGATCTTTTTTGCTAATCAACTTTATTAGAAGTTAAAACTGGTTAGGGTTATGGTTAGTGTCAAACTTGTCAGAACCTACAGAATTTTAACTCTAAGCCTAACCGTACAACTCGATTTTTACGTAAATAATTTCACATGTGCTTACATATCGATATAATTTTCAGAGCATGAATGCTTGCATGTAGTAATTCAATCTTTGATGCTTGAATCACCCATCCACCTAAAAACCAGACGACTGACAATTAAATTGACCTATCCCCCAGCGTGTTTAATGGACAGCTCTAGTCATAACTGGCTTGACCATCTTAGCATCAGTATCCAGGGGGAGGGGCTTAGTTTTTTCGCTCGGGCAATAAGTCGATTCTTTACTAGGATGGTGATTCTTGCATAGTTAGCAAACGAGATGTTAGCTTAGCAGTGCTGTGTCTGTCGTGTGCATTATCAAGTGTGACGTGCATTTACTTGTCGCGTGCAGGAATCTGTGGTTCGAATCCGAACAAAGACTCTCCCTGTCTTGAGCTGGAGTTTGATCGCTACATTCATCCGGTTGTGTTCCCGAACGATGCTCAAATCGAACAGTATGCAAATTTCCTAAACGGGATTGACCCTAACTCTGCCCATGCGCGTGGATCAACTGTGGCTCCGGCAAGTAAGGTACGCCTGTCCTTATTATAATACATTCATTTTGTATAACATTATATATACGATATGTAATTGTAGCACATTTCATACAGCTCTTGAATTAGCGCTAGATTGGAAATTGCAACCCCAGCCTAATGCATTACCTTGTCATTTTTTCTGGAGATTTTTTAATACTGAGTTATTGTATTAATATATAATATAATAATAATAATAATAATATCATAAACTGACATATTTACTTGTGTTTGCATGGCAGCTGACGACAGAGGTTTGCGATGAGGACCTCGAGCAACTTCGAGAGATCGTCAAGCGAGACCCTCTTTCGGAGACGTCCGAACAGGAGAAGGAACTCCTGTGGCGGCTGCGGCACGAGTGCAAGGAGATGCCCGACTCGTTGCCACGGTTACTCGATGTCGTCCGTTGGAACTGCAGGGATGACGTCTCGCATGTATGTGTGGTTTATGTCGAGCGTGGGCGGTTTGTGGCTGTCGTTACGTGTGGGTTTTTGCCGTTCTCGCAGTGTTGGGTTTGCATGCGTGGCCTGGCACACACACACACTCACACACACAAACACACGCCACGGCACGTACACACACACACGACGACACAACCCGCATCGCACTCACACACACACAAACACGACGACGACAGCACGCACGCACACACACACACTAGTTTATACTTGCAATAGTTCAGCTATTATAGTAACTAGGGTGTACTGTCTGTGTTTCCCACAGCTATACACACTGCTGAAGGATTGGCCGACAGTGTCGCCCGAGACTGCACTTGAGCTGCTGGACTGCACATATCCTGATCTGCGTGTGAGGGAATTTGCCGTGTCCTGTCTCGGAGAGAATCTCAGTGATGACCAGTTGTCACAGTACCTGCTGCAGCTGGTGCAGGTAGGGATGTTGTACTGTACAGTCAAACTTGTATGTAAGGGTCACTTTAAGCCAAACGTTTTCCTATAGACTGGTGCAGATAAAAACACCATACTCCTACTGTTGCATGGATGGGAACCCACATACAGTCAAACTTGTATGTAAGGGCGACTTTAAGCCAAACGTTTTCTTATAGACTGGTGCAATTAAGGACACCATACTCCTACTGTTGCATGGATGGGAACCCAGTCAACCCACATACAGTCAAACTTGTATGTAAGGGTGACTTTAAGCCAAACGTTTTCCTATAGACTGGTGCAGATATAAGGACACCATAATAAGGACACCATACTCCTACTGTTGCATGGATGGGAACCCACATACAGTCAAACTTGTATGTAAGGGTGACTTTAAGCCAAACGTTTTCCTATAGACTGATGCAGATAAGGACACCATACTCCTACTGTTGCATGCATGGGAACCCACATACAGTCAAACTTGTATGTGAGGGCGACTTTAGGTTGATACTCCATTAGGAGTGTTCCCAACATTAATGTCATTATAAATGCGTCAAAATAAATCAATATATATAAGATATATATAGTATATATATGTCATGGTCTCGATATTGTTTGTGTTTAATGTCTTTTAGGTAGGTAGCGGTTAGGTCGATAATATTAGGATTATCAATATTAATTATTAATCATTAATGATATCAAAGTTGGGAACACTCCTAATGTAGCGTTAGCCTGACTTTAAGCCAAACGTTTTCCGATAGACTGGTCTCCATTCTATAGAGACAGTTTCAACTGTACTGGTTGTATAACTGCCACCAAAGGGAAACACCAAACATGTCTGTTGTAGACAAGTGTACGTTCCTATACAGGTGACTGGCATCACAGGCTATACTTGCTATTTACCTGTACCTGTACCAGGTCGCTGAACCTGTAACTTACATATTCACCAGGCACATCTATATAAATAGCAGCAAGAGCGTATTAAGAAGCTTCATGGCTTCATGCCTTCTTAATACGCTCTTGATAGCAGTGTCGAAATTACCGCGTATTTGTCTTTTTGCAGGTAATGAAATACGAGCTCTATGTAAATAATGCACTGTCCAAGTTTCTACTGAAAAAAGCATTAATAAATACACGCATCGGACACTTCTTCTTCTGGCATATAAAGTAAGTAATCCAAATTACAATTGTTTGTGATTTAACATGTTTCCACAATGAGTAGCATTCGTTGAAAGAAAATACGTTAGACGTAACAGTATCAGCAGCAGCAGCACTAGAACCAGGAGCCGCAAAAAAAACTACAGCAGCGG